ATGACTGCATAGGGGTTGATGTCAAAAGTATCCCCTCTCCAGGAAAAAGACATCAGGATGGGTATGGCCTTCTTGCCTCACTGGACAACAACAGGGGGACCGGAGCCATTACAATGTCCCCTTCAAGTACTGGAGGTCAGGCCTCTATCCCTACCTTCACAAGATTAGAATTGCCACAGCCCTTCTATACTTATAGAAGGGAGGAGATGTTAGGGGCAGCCTTGCTTACACTCTGAAGGCCTAAAATCAGCCATAGGCCTAAAGTCAACAATAAGCCTGTAATACATGTATACTAACACCAAGTCTTGGGTCTCAGTGGAAAAACATTGAAACAGATGGCTATAAGCTAATGTAAACAGGCAGCTTTTGTGGAAATTTACAAGCCTAAATAGTCATAGACCTTGTAAATAGGTAACCTTGGCAGACAATACCAACTTAGATAAGGACAAGGGAGTCATAGGCAGAGTCATAGTGACTTGTCCCCTGAACCTTCACCCAGCCGATACCCGGTTCTGAAAGATATCTGTATTCCCCTGAACACCCACACTACAGTGTCATTCCCTTCCCCACATCCTGCCTTTCTGTGTTTATAACCCCTGTGTGAATGAATTACAATTTAAGAAAAAATAAATTATTTTAAAAAAAAAACTAAACCGAGAATTTACAACAGAGGAATCTCGAATGGCTGAAGAGCACCTAAACAAATGTTCAAAGTCCTTAGTGATCAGAGAAATACAAGTCAAAATGAACCTGAGATTCCACCTTACACCAATCAGAATGGCTAAGATGAAAACCTCAGGTGACAGCACATGTTGGCAATGATGAAGAAACAGAGGAACACTCCTCCGTTGCTGGTGGGATTGCAAACTGTTACAACCACTCTGGAAATCAATCTAGAGGTTTCTCAGAAAATTGGAAATAAATCTGCCTGAAGACCCAGCAATACCACTCTTGAGAATATACCCAAAACATGTTCTATCATGCAACAAGGGACATGTTTCACTATGTTCATAGTTGCCTTGTTTGTGATGGCCAGAAGCTGGAAACTATTTTCAACTTTACATGCAATCACAGTTTCTTTTATTCTGCTTCCTGCTTTACAAATCAAGTGGAAAATATTTGAGCCTTCTTCAGCTTGACTGCCCACAGTAATGGTCATGTCAGGATGGAGTAATCAGTATGGCTTATGTAGTTGGAATCAGGGACACCTTTTCTGAAAAGATTTAAGTGGTTAAGGAGATTTGTATTCTGAGCTGTTTTTATCTCATTGGTAATATCTATGAAACAGACTATATCAAACTCTTCCATATTCCAATCAGCACTGAAATATTTGTAATTTTCTTTCTTAAAGTATAACATTTTATAATCTTCTTTATGCCAGAACTCATGAGAATTACATAAAGTCTAAGCTCATACCTTTCTAATCAATTCTGAAAACAATTTCATTGATATTATTGATATTAAAATATCAAAAGTATCAACATTAATGTATAAGAATACTGAAAAAAGCCAAAGACTTTCCATCTATTTTTCAGGATAAGAGTATTTCCCTTATGATAGAAATAGATGGGCTGGGTTAAGACTGAATCAAAACTCCTGGAGAGTGGTAGAATATGATTTTAATTTCAGTGGGAAGCAGAAGCAGGTGGATATCTGTGAGTTGAAGGCCAGACTGGTCTCCAGAGCATGTTCCAGTACAGCCAGGTTTACACCAAGGAATGTAGTCTGAGAAAAAAATCAGCAAAGAAACAAACAAACAAATAAAACAGAAGCAGCTAGCTCTATGGTACAGAAAACACCATGCATGCCCAGAAACTGGAAATCCTTAAAGGGAGAGTGAGACAATTGTATTCTTTTCCCTTGCTAACAGTTGACATTTTTTGCAAGAGAAAATCATCTAGAAATCTACAAGTTAAATTGACCTATATCTTCATTAGGTCAAGCCTAGGTGTTGAGATCCAATGATGTAAAAGAGGAAAGGACAGTAGAACAGGAAGATGACATAAATGCAATTCAAAATAAAGTCTGATCACCTCTGTCTAATTACTATAGGGTAAAGTAGTTGAATAGCGTTTGGTTGGACAAATAAGCCTGATCAGTGTCTTATACTTTATTCTTGAGAAAGTGGCTCAATTGATCCAGCACTCTGATCTATAGCCATGAGATAAACTCAAGAATTGACAGATGCATTACTGAAGCATAGGTAAAAACTGCAGGTACAGTGCTTGAATACATACTACTTAAGAGTGTAAACAGGTAGGAGAATCTGGACATTTGATATTAGGATGTAGAGGAAACAGTACTAAGTTTCACTGGACCTTTTGAGCTCACTCAAGAAGAGTAACTTTCCCCAATAAAGACATAATATAAATTGTTCTGTTGTATTGTAGTTGTATGTCATACCACAGGATACAAAGTTGTTTTTCTGTAAATCATAGTTAAAACCATTTTATACCCCAATTGAATTTGATAACACCACTTTATCTAATATAGAGCAGCTGCTTGGAAACCTGCTGCTATTTTGTTCAGACTGAAATCACTACTCTCAATGTATATTGTTCTCTTCTTTGCTATGGCACTGGCTATATCCTAGTACTTTGTTGATATTGCTTTTTAGCTTCAATTCGGATTCTTAGGAAAAGCCCATAGGAGGCATGGATATCACAAACAGAAACTTGATCTCCATTATAGGTCCACTGCCATAGCTTATGGAGCTTCAGTACTTCCTAGGGTTTTTAATTTGGTTTAAAGCTACATATCAGAGTGACACATTATACTTTAAGTCTGTGAAAGGACATATGGGACACACGTTTATTTATATCTTAGTCCTTTTCTGTCTGTGGTTAATAAGGAACAACTCTAATTGTGAAAAGCTCTTTGATCCCTTGTAACGTATTGCTTTGATAGAGTTTATTATAGTCATTCAAACGAAGCTGTAAGCAAGCAGATCCTAATAAAGTATCTTACTTGGTTAAATATTAGGACAGTTCTTCACTAGCTGTTAACACTTGTTTTCTCTATAAAGATACTCTTGGATCTGAGATTTAACAGGATCTAGCCAATTTATTAAAATAAAATTTCAAATTATAAAGACATCTGACACTGTCATTATTACTAAGATAGGGAATAAATGAGATAACCTGCTATGAACACTAATAATGAATTTTCATGCCATGTTCCAATATGTTTTTTTAAAAACAATTCATTTTTTTAAATTTTTCGAAATAGATACAGCTTTTATGTGATGTTTATCTTTAATCATAAAATTGATATAATCTACCAATCAGTATGGAAGAGTTTCAATAAGAGATTGTTCCTATTAGTTTGGTCTGTGATCATGCCTGTGAGGGACTGTCTGAACTTAATTGACATGGGAAGACTCAGTCTGCTGTGAGCAGTGCCATTCCCTAGGCAAGGAATCTTGAATTGTCCAAGAGATCTTGATATGATAGACTGCAACTTGAAATTGCAAAGTGAAATAAATCTCTTTCTATTGTAAGTTGGCTGAGTATTCACTAGTGGTTCATATGCTAAAGATGTGGCACTGAACTGGTAGCAATATTAATATGGTAAAAATTTTACAAAATTAGGCCTTATTGAGAAATATTTATTACTGATGTTATTTTATGCCCCTGAACACTTCTCCTTTCCTAGTCTCTTTCTCAGTCCCTTCTGATCTTGCGCCTCTGTGGGCATCCATGAGGTGAACAATATTGCATGTTATAACTGCTGCACCAGAAACATCATGATATGTGTTCATGCATAAAAATGTCTGAAAAAAAGAGTCAATGTTTTCTCCTTAAAAATGACTATCTTGACTGTTTCAATATTGTGTCAGAAAGGTGACAGAAATAGAAAAAGTGTTAGAATGGACAAATAAAACATTTGTGAAAGGTGTTCCTAATAGACATTAGTTTCGAGTTATAAAAGCTGGTGATCAGTGCCTGCTGCTGCATTTGTTTTTAAGGAAAACATTATAGTCCATGAAAAATAAATAAAACAATTAATGTAGGAAATAAACTGTGGGACTTCTGTCTGGAGTAGAACAGATAACTAGGTCATAAATTTGAGAAGATCAGTGTCAAAGCAACAGGGTATGTGAGAACTGAAAATCAGCCCCCAGGGATACATCAGGTGCTACAATGACCAAGGCTGCCATTTCTATCAAGGATGGGAAACAAAATGACAGGTCCTATCACTTTCTGGACATAAAAGACACTGTAAATAGGTTATATTTTCCTAGCAGTTGGTGTTAGGTCAAGAATTTGATTTCCTCTCCACATAGGCAGCAACAACTTTGATTCATAAGTAGACACAGTTTTATCTATAAGATACATATAAAAAATCCTTTATAAAGGATATGTAGAGAGATAAATTCATAGATAATGAATAGAAAAGCACACCCAACACAAATATATAATAATGGTTCCACAAAAGTAAGGGTACTTCAAACCAGAAACTTTTAAAGAATACAAAAGTTCAATTCTCTTTTATTTAATTATTTTAAGATTGACCATTCTATATACAAAACAGTAAACTAACTGCAGAAATATGGTACTTAGTTTGCATCTCCCCTTTCTTACATGTTAATTGCTAAGCATCTTCTTCTCATAAAGCATTTGCCCAACACCTGGATTATTGTATATTCCAGTCACTATTCTCCTTCAGTAGCAACCCTACCCCTCTCGGACTCCTGAGACCAGTTACAGTCATGCTTGACTTCCTGTTGGCTCATTTTTATTCATTAATATTTTGTCATTCGGAACATAAAACATATGAGAAGCATAGTTTCTAACATGGTACTTAAACATCTGGTTAAAATCTATATGCCTTATTAATTTATGTAATCGATGCTTTCTTAGAAGGCATTTGTTTAATTTTAACCATCAGATGGATAAATTTGTGGAAAGGGACATATATAATTTAAGCGCTCATATATATTTCAGTGTGTATGTATCTAAACATGTATTCCCAAACAAGAATACTCATTCTTTAATGCAAAAAATTAATGGTTCCTTATTTATCAAATTTGTAAAATTTGTGCAGAGGCCATGCTAATCTCTATATCTATCAAATATTAGTATATGGTCCACTGAAACAAACACGAAAGTAAATATATATGATTAAGCATTATAGAAATTTACCAGATTTTAAGTTAATTTCACACACATGCACACACACAGACACACACACACACAGAGAAACACATAAACACACATAGGCACACACATGCACACGAGTGGGATCAGAGATACTATGCACAAGTGGACTATTGCTCCAAGAAGATATGAGTTATTTCATGAAAATACAAAATCTAGGCAATGAATATCTACCAGTAAGTTAATTGGAGATCAATGGGACACAGGCTATTATAAGACTCTGTGCTAAAAATACTAAACATTTCAGTTGTAGAACATAGAAAACTCAATCTGTAACTGAGGCAAAACCTCTTTTCCTTCTACTTAGCTTCCTTAGTGATGAAACATGCTATACAAGCAGCTGGAAAAGAAAATACATATATGCTCTATGATAGGTGAATAATAATGGCCCCATATTTGAATACGTGTTCATTAGAAAGTAGGGCTTCTTGATATGAATTAGTAGGTATGGCCTTGTTTGAGTAGGTGTAGCCTTGTTGGAGAAAGTGTGTCCTTAGGAATGAACTTTGAGGTTTTAAGGGGCCAAGTCACCCAGTGCTTCTCTCTCCTCTGCTCTCTGCAGATCTGCTTGTAGAACTCTCAAATTCTCTGTCACCATGTCTACCTACATGGTACCCTGCTCTTCACTGGGATGACAATGAACAAAACCTCTGAAACTGTATTCAAGCCTCAATTAAATTGGTTCCTTTATAAGAGTTGCCATGGTCATGGTGTCTCTTCACAGCAGTAGAATATTAACTAAGACATGAACTAACTCAGCATTGGTTCCAGCATACTTTTTTTCTCCTTGCATACAAAAATCTTGAGCTGCAAAGAAAGTTGAATGTGCTGATGCAATATGTGGGGACTGTTATGAAAGTAGCCAGATTGGGTTTGTTTTAGGTCTGCTCCACAGGAGGTATTTAAGGTCTGGTACTATAATTCCTATGAAAAGCCCAAGACTGGGGACACAATAGTACCATAGGCCATAAGGAAAAATCTAGTCTTATCATTTTACTAAATTCTCATGTTATTAATTTAGCTTTTCATAACCTAGGGCCATGAAGCTTCTTTTCCCATTGTTAATAGTTAATGTAGAGACTAGTTACAATTTAAACTTAGTTACTATAAATGCTCAACTATAAATGTTTCCTATCTATCAATGAATAAAACAACTAAAGGCTCAGGGAATGTCACAGTGATGTAGGTAGAAATAATTTAAGAGGCAAAGTTGTAGAAGAGGACTGTTAAATGCTGTCTTCTATACATGACATAACCAAATTACACATCAACTCACGGTACCTATTTTTGATTGCATAAGACCTGCACAATGGAATTACTCAATTCCAGAAAGGAAGAAGGAAGAAGTTCTAAGGCCCTACACTTAACTGATGAGTTATTTGAAGATAATGATTGTTGAGAGAGTTAGAGTAACTTTTATTTGGGAATATGGATTCTGATAGGTCATATGTCTGTGGATGGCTTCACACAGATTCTCGGATGCTTAGCACTAATCAAATTCAAGGGACTATTGATATTTTTTAAAATAGGTCCTGAAATAAGAAGAAAGGCTGGTGGTTTTCGAGATACCTAAAGATGGTCCTACCACAGCAAAACCTAAATATTAAAACATATCTTGGGCACAATAAAAATACCTCAAAATAACTTTTATGGATTTTAAAGGAGGAAATTAATAAATCCGTTAAATGAATCCAGGAAAACAGAAACAAACAATGTAAAGATATAAATAAAACTGTTGAAAACCTTAAATTGGAAATAGAATTAGTAAAGAAAACCCAAAGTAAGAGAATTTGGAAAATACAAAATAGAAAAACTTGAACAGGAACTACAGAGCCAAGATTCATGAGCAAAAGACAAGAGATGGAAGAGATAAGTCTCAGGAAGAGAAGATACAATAAACAAAATGGATGTATTGGTCAAATAAAATGTAAAAAAAATCTCGACACAAAACATCTAGGAAATCTGGAAGACTATGAATAGACCAAACACATGAAAACTAGGACTGGAGGAAAGAAGAAACCTGGCTCGAAAGCTCAGGAAATGTTTTCCACAAAATCATAGAAGAAAATTTTCCTAACATAAAGAAGAGGATCTCTATAAAGGTACAAGAAGCTGTCAGAACACCAAATAGATTGAACTCAGAAATGAAATCCCCTCAGCTCATCATTTTCAAAACATTAAACATATAGAACAAAGAAAAAATATTAAAAGCTGCAAGGAAAAAAGACCAAGTAGCATAAAAATGAAGAGCTATTAGAATTATACCTGACTTCTCACTGGAGACTATGAAAGTCAAAAGGGCCTGGACAGATGTACTACATACTCTAAGAAGTCACACACATCTACGATGCCATCCTGTATTACTATACCCAGCAAAACTTTCAATCATCATTGATGGATAGTCAATAATAAAGTCAAATTTATACATATATATATATATCTAAATATCCATCACTATAGAAAGCAGTAGAGGTAAACCTCAAACTAAAGAGGTTACCTTCTCAGATGAAAAGACAAGAAATAAGTAATTTCATGTCAGACAAACAAAAGAAGAAACACACCACATACACACACACCACAACCACAACCAACAACAACAATAAAATTACAAGAATATCCATCATTGGTAATTGATATTCCTCAATATCTCAATTCTCTAATGAATACATACAGAATAATAGAATAGATGTGAACACAGTATTCATCCTTCAGCTGCATCCACAAAGCACATCAAGGATAAACAATAATTCAGTGCAAAAGAGTTTGAAAAAGATATTCCAAGCACATGGAATGATGAATCAAGCTGTTGTAGCCTTCTTAATATATAAAAAAAAAATCTTCAAACTGAAATTAATCAAGTAAAATAGAGAAGGAACTTCATATTCATAAATGGAAAACTTTACCAAGATGACAGTTCAATTCTTAACATTTATACCCTAAGTACAAGGGTAACCTCATTTGTAAAAGGAAAACTACTACAGCTTAAATCACCCATTGACCCTGACACACTGATAGTGGGAGACTTTAATTCCCCACCCTCACCAATGAAAATGCCATCCAGACAAAAAATAAACCAAGAAGTGCTGGACCTAACAAATGTTACAAACCAAATGGAGCTAACAGATATTAACAGATCGTTTCACCCAAACACAAAAGAATATATACCTTCTACTCTGTAGCTTAAAGAGTTTTCTCTAAAACTGACCTCATACTCAGACACAGAGTAAGCCTCAACAGATAGAAGAAAATGGAAATAACTCACTGCATTCCACCAAACCATCATGGATTAAAACAGGATATTAAAAGCAATAGAGAAACAGAAAGTTTATAAATTTATAGAAAATGGACAAATCCCTACTAAATGAATGATAAATCAAGACAGAAATAAAGAAATAAATTAAAGACTCTAAAATTTAATTAAAGCAAATATACAACATACCCTAATTTATAGGCAACAATGAAGGTAGTGTTAAAAAAAAGGTTATCGCACTAAGCACCTACATTTAAAAAAAATACGAGCAGCCTAACAGCAAACAAGGAAACTGTAGAAGAAAAAGAAATAAGCACTTTTAAGAGGAGTAGATGGCAAGAAATAATCCAACTGAGTGTTGAAATCAATAAGATATAAACAAAGAGAACAATACAAATAATCAATGAAATAAAGAGTTGGTTCTTTGAAAAGATCGATAAGTTAGGCAAACCCTTAGCCACCCTAACTAAAAGGTAGAGAGACACAATATCTCAATTAACAAAATCAGAAAGCAAAAGACAGACAAACAACAATAACCAAAGAAACCAAAACTGTGCAAAGCACATGCTTTAAAAGCCTATACACCTCCAAATTGGAAAATCTAAAAGGAATGGTTAATTTCCTCAATAGGTACCACTTATAAAACTTAAATCGAGATCTGATGATCAGATAAACCATTTAAATCGATCTGTAGCTAAAGAAATAGAAGCAGTCATTAGAAGTCTCCAAATCAAACTAAAAATGCCTAGGCTAGATGACTATAGTTCAGAATTCTGCCTGTCTTTTAGAACATTGTCCAACTCATTTTATAAAGCTAAATTTATCCTGATACCCGAACCATAAAAAGGATTCAACAAAGAAAGAAAATTACAGACCATTTTCCCTTATAACTATACATACAAAAATATTCAATAAAATATTTACAAACGTAATCTAAGGCCGCATAATAAAGATCATTCACCATGACCAGCTAGATTTCCTCCTAGAGACACAAGGATGGATCAGTTAATGAAAATCAGTTTAATCCACCATATAAACAAACTAGAACAAAAATCTTGCATAATCATCTCATTAGATACAGAAGAAGTCTTTAACAAAATTCAACACACCTTCATGATAAAACTTCTGGAGAGATTAGTAATACAGGGATGTACCTAGGCATGATACAGCAAGCCTACAGCCAATATCAACGAAAATGGAAAAAACCCAAAGCAATTCAACTAAAATCAGGAACAAGACAACCTTGTCCACTCTCTCCATATTTATTACATATAATACTTAAAACTTTACCTAGAACAATCAGAAAACTGAAGGAGATCATGGGATGCAAAGTAGAAAGGAAGAAGTAAAATATCCTTTTTGTAGATGATATGATAAAAGACATAAGTAACCCTAAAAATTCTAAGATAGTATTACCTCAGCCGATAAATACTTTTAGCAAAGTGGCTGGATACAAGATTAACTAAAACAAACAAACAAACAAAAATCAGTAGCCATTCTATATACTAGTGACAACAACAAACTTAAAAAGAAATCATGTAATTAACACCTTTCACAATAGTTTCAAATAATTATAAAATATCTTGGGATAACTCCAATCAAGCAAGTGAAAGATTTGTATGATAAAAATCTCAAATCCGTTAAGAAAGCTTCTGAAGAAGCTCTTAGAAGATGAAAAGACCCCTGTGCTCATG